TACAGGAACAATCATTCTGCATAGTACATAAAGGTGGAAAAATGGGAGTAAAAAATGCTCCAGGATTAGTAAGCCGTGGGAGTAAAAAAATGGGCCAGCGTCATTGTTTGTGTCAGTGGGAGGAATAGAAGAGCCCTATCGTTGGTGTCAATGGGAGGAATAGTCCCCAAATGTTGGTGTCAGTGGACAGAATAGTGCCCCATCATTGGTGTCAATGGAAGTAATGGTGCCCCATCATTGGTGTCAATAGGAGGAATAGTGCCCCATCATTGATACCAGTGGAAGGAATAGTACCCAATTGTTGGTGTCAGTGGAACTAATGGTGCCCCATCGTTGGAGTCAGTGAGAAGAATTGTGTGTTCCATCGTTTATATCAGTGGAAGGAATAGAACCCCATGGTTAATATCAGTGGTAGGTATAGTGTTCCAAGGGCTGGTTAAAGGCAAGCAAAGGATAGCAGTTTGGAGACCACTGCAATACACTCAAGATACCTATGCTACTAAGCACAGTCATATTGTTACATTGCTGTGAATCTAACTACTAGTGAAGCAAAATTGCAGCTCTAATGCAGTCTGGATGGTGCAATGGCCATACATACAACAGTGATATATAACTGACATTTTGAAAACATCCATGTACAATTTGCTGCTATAGAAGCTACATATCCTAATTATTAATAAATGTAACTTTCCAAAAAAGAGGTAGAAGATTTAAAACACATGAGACAAAAGTAAGGATTTGAACCACAGCAACAATCTAGTATATGTTTCAGAAGTGTTGGAACAGGAGGAGGTGCCATGTTGGAACAGGTATTGGGGGGGGCAGTGGTGGAAAAGGAGGCAGTGCAGTGGTGGAACAGGAGGGGCGCAGTAGTGGAACGGGTATCCAGGAGGAGATGCAGTGGTGGAACAGGAGGGGTGCAGTGGTGGAACGGGTATCCAGGAGAGGATGTAGTGGTGGAACAGAAGGGGCACAGTGGTGGAATGGGTATCCAGGAGGGGATGCAGTGGTGGAACAGGTATTCAGGAGGGGGTGCAGTGGTGGAAAAGGAGGAGAGCAGTAGTGGAACAGGAGTTCAGGAGGGGTTACAGTGGTGGAACACGTGTGGTTGTTGAGTATGTGCATGGGGGTGCAGTGTTGATGGTGTTCAGAGGGTATAGAGGTGGAACAGGTGTGCAGTTGTGAAACAGGTATGCAATTGGGGTTCAGTGGTGGAACTAGAGATTTCCATTTTTTGCAAAGCCATTTTTTATTTTATCCTGCTAAAATTGGGGGCAAAAAATTTGGAATATGTTCATTAAACAATGATAAATAATATATCTATAAAATGGTATTCAAACTATATAACATGAAAACCTTATTGAATGATTTCTGAGACTTTATGTAAACCCCTAAATTATTGCAAATTCTCTCAGCTGAAGACAAGCAATTCCCAGAATACAATACAAGTACCACTACTTCTCCATGCAGATCTCAAACAAGATATATCTGCATTTCTGCCACTAGGGGGCACAGCAGAGGAAAGGCTCCAATTTAGTTTGCATGTGCCCTCTATATTTTACCTCCTACAGTTGGGTGATTGTTTGGATATAGTAGATAATGTTTCTGTCCTGTCAGGCATTAATTGACAGGTAAGAGGGTACATTTGTCTGACAAATTAGTTTATCTTTATAACATTTAAATGATTAATATTAGTATTCTCCACCATCATAGCTTAATGTTTACCTATAGTCTGGTCAGTAAATAGTTTTTTTCTCCTCTCAGTAAAATGGTGAGACCAGCATCTAGAGTTTGGAGACATTTCCACAGCACAATTTCTGCTAAGATCAAATTTGCAATTTGCAAATATTGTGTGAAAAAATATTTTTTCCCAAATGCTACAAGGATGTCAAAACACATCCTTGCAGAGGTGCCCTAAAACATTAACATATACTTTATGGAATTAAATGATGAGAACCATAATAAAAAGTGCTTTTCCCATTCCAGAAACACTCTATCTGCTGCTTCTGGATCATCACAAAATGTTCCGTCACCAGCAGCATCTTCAAGTATGGAAGTGTTACAAACCACTGCCTCCAAAAAAATACACAATACTTTCATTTATAGATAAACTGACACCTGAAAATCAGGAGAACAAGCTCTTCATAAAGCTGTATATACTGTATGCTTCTGGATCAACATTGTCAATAACTAAAAATGAATATTAGCGGAAAGCTTTTAAATTAGGGAAAATGGGGGATTACCTGTTCTCACGTATAGTTAAAATGTTCTTAACATATACAGTCCTTGTTATTCCATTCCATTTTTTTTTTATAAAAAAACACAATTTTAGAAAGAAAATTTAATTTATTTACTGAATAACCTGTACTTTTATTCAATGTATAGTACTTTTATTTACACTGCGTTTCATGTTCCAAGTGTAACAAAATGACTTTCAAGATGTAAAACTACTCCACACTGAATTTTTTTTAATTTTTTTTTTTTTTTAATTTTTCCAAAAAAATTTAATTTTTTTCTGGAAAAAACTGAAAAATGTTTAAAATTCTTCAAATATATTAATAGTAAAAAGGTCCGGTCCGAGCATGTACACCCTTTACAAAATAATCTAGAGTGGGTGACTGGGGACAAAGAGAAGGCAAATTTATTAAATACCTTCTTCAGCTCTGTGTATACAACGGAGCATGGGGGAGCTCTAGTCCATAATGGGCATGGTATTGACACAGCTCCAGATCATCCACATTGGCTCACAATTGATATTATCCAGAAATATTTAGACAGAATAAAGGTGAATAAAGCACCTGGACCGGATGGCATATACCCACGGGTCCTTAAAGAATTGAGCTCTGTCATTTCAAAGCCATTGTTTCTCATTTTTAGGGACTTTTTAATGACTGGCATAGTACCACTGGACTGGCGTAAGGCCAATGTGGTGCCAATATTTAAAAAGGGGTCAAAATCTTTACCAAGTAATTATAGACCTGTTAGTTTAACTTCTATAGTTGGGAAGATACTGGAGAGTTTAATAAAAGACCACATATATTTTAAGCAACAGAGAGCATGGATTCATGAAAGACAGAAGTTGTCAAACAAAGTTGTCAAACAAATCTGATTTCTTTTTATGAGGAAGTGAGCAAAACCTTGGACAGAGGGGGTGGCGGTGGACGTGGTATACTTGGATTTTGCAAAAGCGTTTGACACAGTTCCCCACACACGGCTAATGTGTAAGGTAAAGTCTACAGGCCTGAAAAAATCAGTATGTAAATGGATAGAAAACTGGCTAAAAGATCGTATTCAGAAAGTAGTGGTTAATGATTCATACTCTGAATGGTCTAGGGTTGTCAGTGGTGTACCCCAAGGTTCAGTGTTGGGACCCTTACTTTTTAATATATTTATAAACAATATAGGGTCTGGGATTAAAAATATCATTTCAGTCTTTGCAGATGACACCAAGCTGTGCAGTGGAATAATGTCCTTACAGGATGTCTCCAACTTACAAGCCGACTTCAATGCACTGTTTTAAATGGGGAACTATGTGGAAAATGAGGATGGTGAGAAGGATCTGGAATCAATGGTGGAGAGTTGGCAGTTCTGGTAGATCACAAGCTTAATAATGGCATGCAATGCCAAGCTGCGATTTCTAAAGCGAGCAAAATCCTCTCTTGTATTAAAAGAGGCATAGACTCCAGAGAGAGAGATATCATATTACCCCTGTACAAATCATTAGTAAGACCTCATCTGGGATATGCAGTTCAGTTTTGGGCACCAATTCACAAAAAGAACATTGGGGAACTGGAGAAAGTACAGAAAAGGGCAACCAAACTAATATGAGGCATGGAGGAGCTCAGATATGAGGAAAATTAGAGGAACTGAATTTATTCTATCTTGAGAAGAGGAGATTAAGGAGGATATGATTAACATGTATAAATACATCAGTGGTTCATATAGTGGTGTAGAGTTATTCACCCTGAAGTCATCACAGAGGACAAGGGGGCACTTTTTACATCTGGAGGGAAAGAAATTTAATCTCCAAACATGGAAAGGTTTCTTCAAAGTAAGAGCTGTGAAAATGTGGAATAGACTCCCTGAAGAGTTAGTTCTGGCCAGCTCAGTGTATTGCTTTATAAAAGGCCTGGATTCTTTCCTAGATGCACAGAATATAACTGGTTTCTAACATTTATAGGTAAGGTTGATCCAGGGAATATCCGATTGCCTCTCGGGGGATCAGGAAGGAATTTTTTTCCCCTGCAGGAGCAAATTGGATCGTGCTTTGCTGGGTTTTTTTTGCCTACCTCTGGATCAACTGTGGGTATAGGATTATAATTTTTTTTTTAATGGTTGAACTGGAGGGACTTTTGTCTTTTTTCAGCCAGACTACGTAACTATGTAACTACTATATAAAAGCTTCTGACATGGGGACACCTGATGGACAAAAGGGATATGATCATTACATAAAGTGGATTTTGCATTGAAGTGGAAGTCCAGTCAAACACTACCTATACTTGAAGTGTTACTGAACACAGAATCCTGCATTCACTATATCTGGTCTCCCACAGTACAGAGAACATGGAAATGCAATTATTTTAGTAAATATTAACTGCTAAATAAAGAATGTTATGTGTAGGCGAGTGCTGGAAATAAATTTGAAGCAGCTAGCACAAAGGTAAAAGGTAACAACTCCTTATAGAATATGGTATAAAGTGCAGTGCTAAATAAATAAATTAAATACATAATTAACAGCCTCCCGTCCACCATATAGTAATATGATGGACGCAAGCAGGTTCGTTCTCTCATATGACGTCCTCCCATTCTAACCGCGCTTGCTCGGCTCCCGGAGTGTGCAGCGCGGCTTTCGGCGGTGCGCTGTGTCCCTCGGACACAGCGGATCACCGATCCACGGAAAGAGCCGAAGATGTTGGCTTGGTCATGTGATCAGCTGTGTCCAATCACAGCTGATCACATGTAAACAGGGAAATGCCGGTTAACGACATTTCTCTCCCCATGAGCTGTCACACTGACAGCTCGTGAGGAGAGGAGAGCCGGTAATCGGCATTCCTCGGAGGGAACATGTACACAGATCATCAGATAACTGATGATCAGTGTGCCCTGATTATCTGTGTAGCCCCAGCAGCGCCACCTATCAGTGCCAGCTCTCAGTGCTCATCCATGCCACCTGCCAGTGCCCATCAGAGCCACATCAATGCCACATATCAGTGCCCATCTGAGCTGCCTTTCAGTGTCACCCGTCAGTGCCACCTATCTATGTCAGTCAGTGCCACCTATCAGTGCTGCCAATCAGTGCCACCTATCAGTGCCAGTCAGTGCCGCCTATCAGTGCCAGTCAGTACCACCTATCAGTGGGCATCAGTGCCACCTATCAGTGCCCGTCAGTGCTGCCTATCAGTGCCGCCTAACAGTGCCAGTCAGTGCCACCTAACAGTGCCAGTCAGTGCTGCCTATCAGTGCCAGTCAGTGCCGCCTATCAATGCTGCCTTTCAGTGCCCATCAGTGATGCCTGTTAATGCCCATCAGTGCCACCTACCACTGCCTCCTCATCAGTGCCCATCAGTGCCACCTATCAGTGTCCATCAGTGCAGTCTATCAGTGCCCATTACTGCAGCCTCATTAATGCACATCACTGAAGGAAAAAAAAAATCACTTATTTACAAAATTTTATAACAAAAACTAAGAAAAAACTTTTTTTTTTCAAAATTTTCAGTGGTTTTTGGTTTGTTTAAGAAAAAATAAAAAACCCAGAGGTGATTAAATACCACCAAATCAAAGCTCTATCTGTCACAAAACAATGATAAAAATTTCATATGGGTACAGTGTTGCATGACCACGCAATTGTCCTTCAAAGTGCAACAGCGCTGAAAGCTGGAAATTGGCCTGGGCAGGAAGGGGGTATAAGTGCCCTGTAGGCTAGTGGTTAAATAAGTATTGTGAGACAAACAAGTGTAGTTCTGATATAGGGTACAATAAAATAAATAGTTAATAAATATGGAACAGTCAAGTGCAACATATAAAGTGAAAATGAATAAAGTCCATATATGTTATAATAAATAATGTCCGTGGGACTATAAGGCACAGGAATCACGGTGAAAAAGTGTGAAATGATCCAGTGAAGGAATCCACCACCTCTGTCAGATGTAAACTCACCAGAAAACTACTGGTAAACTGCATGTACTGTAAGCACATCTGTCAAGGATCACCCTGTCACGTGTCCCCCCACACGCCACGCCCACAGCGACTAGCTAACCGAGACGCGCACGTGCGGCCATGACTGGGGGGTGAAGAGGGAACAAAGGGGACTTAACTTGAATATCTAAAACCGTATGTAAGATCAGCCGTGACACACTTTCACAGCCCGCACTACCTCTGGCCACCACCAGATGGAGATTCCACTCCAATGCAGCTGGTCGACCACACACTGGCAGATACAAATCTTACATACAATCTGATGCACTGATTAGAGTTGAGGACCAGCTTAGTAATTACACACCCTTCTAGAGTCCTTCCAGCTATCCTAGTCCGATCGCGACAGTACCAAACACTGTTCGACTGTCGCGATCCAGGGCCACCTAACCATTCCCTGCATTTTCCTGGCTTTCTCCCCAAGCCACAAATATGATTTTTTATATGCAAATGTAGCGCACAGAATGCCCTGCAAAAAGGGAGCATGTTCATCTCTCTGCAACTAATATTTTAGTTTTTATGAGAGATTAAACATACTTCTTTGATGTATGGAATGTACCTATACATCAGGCAGCCGCCCTGTCTCCTGTCATTAGCTCCAAACCAGTTTTCCTAGAATGTGACAATCTTATTAACACAAAGGTGTCACATCCCAGAAGCCTGGCTTTCAGACTAATTGATGCTAATTGATGACTACTGTCTGTAATGTCTATTGAGTAATTGTGTATAAATACGCATCTGTATCCCAGACCAATTGATGCCAATTGATGACCACTGTCTGTAATGTCTTGTCATTTCCCTAATGCCAGGGACTCAATACACATCCTTAATGAAAAGGGCTGGAATGTCTGAATATCTGTTCCTGAATACACATTTGTAATGAAAAGGCCTGATCTACATCTAATCTACTCAAACCTGCTATGGCTATGATTACATATTTCCACTGATCAAATCTTTATCCACTCAAATCTTACATGTCCGTACGTTACATCTCCCCTCTTCCAGACAACGCATAGCTGAGCCTAAAGGGATCGGCTAACGCGTCTGCCAGGAGGGTTCCCTAGGTTGGGGGGGGGGGGTTCTCTCAACTAAAGCTTGACACCGCTGACAGCTCTCCTAAAGGGTTTGGGTCACCACTGGCCAGCAGATCCCCCGCGGATCCATTTCATTCACTGGCCACCGACTATCGACTGGATGGGTACTGGAAAACCTGTCATTGTGTGCTGTCAACATTTTCAGCCACTGGCCAGGGTCATCTGGCGGTTCGCCATTGGCTGCGACACCCAGATGCCTGAACCTGGCATAAGGTTGTTCCTGGGTGATCTGGACCTGGTTCCATGGCTTGGATACCAGAACCTCCACCCTCTGACCTGTCTCCCACACTTCTGCTTTTTCTGCTTCAGCCAGAGACCGGTCAGCACACCCCCTCAGTTCCTCCGGGCTGACGTCAAAACCTATCAACCAGCGAGAATACAGTGTTGTCAGATACAGTCTCTGAGAAAGCAGATTCAGAGGAGGTCAGTGTTCCCCCATCATCCTGTGATCCTCCCTTTGCTGTGCATAGCAATTAATCCTCAATCATGATACTCATAGCTGTGGCGACAAAGGATAAATCCACAGAAGACTTTATTCCACCAGGGGTCATCCTCTGACCCGTGCCACACCCTTCTACTCTGTCCTCCTCAGCAGAACATCTGTCAGCACAACACCTGAGTTCCTCCGGGCCAACATCAAACCTATCAGCCTGGAAGTGCTCAGTGATGTCAGCTGCAGCTGCTGAGGTGAAAGACACTGATTGGGCTGAATTTGCCCCAACATCCTGTAGACTTCCCTCTGCAACACACAGAAATGAGTCTGCACTGGCAGTACCCGCGACTGTGGTGACAGAGGGGAAAGTTACAGGAGAAAGGATTTCACTAGGGGTTGTCCTCCGACCCATGTCACAGTCACACACTTCTACCCCGTCCTCAGCAGAGCGTCTGTCGGCACACCTGAGTTCCTCTGGGCTGGCATCAAATGTAATAGCCTATGGAAACTCAGTGCCGTCAGCCCCAGCTACTGAGGGGGTAGAGTCAGAAAGAGTCAGACTTAAACCCTCACCCTTTGGTCCCTCCTCTGTGCTCCACAGCCCAGGATCCAGAATGGCATGACTGGTACAGTGGGGCAAAAAAGTATTTAGTCAGCCATCAATTCTGCAAGTTCTCCCACTTAAAAAGATGAGAGAGGCCTGTAATTGGCATCATAGGTAGACCTCAACTATGAGAGACAAAATGAGAAAAAAATATCCAGACAATCACATTGGCTGATTTGGAAAGAATTTATTTGCAAATTATGGTGGAAAATAAGTATTTGGTCACCTAAAACAAGCAAGATTTCTGGCTCTCACAGACCTGTACCTTCTTCTTTAAGAGGCTCTTCTGTCATGCACTCATTACCTGTATCAATGGCATCTGTTTGAACTTGTTATCAGTATAAAAGACACCTGTCCACAACCTCAAACAGTCACACTCCAAACTCCACTATGGTGAAGACCAAAGAGCTGTCGAAGGACACCAGAACCAAAATTGTAAACCTGCACCAGGCTGGGAAGACTGAATCTGCAATAGGCAAGCAGCTTGGTGTGAACAAATCAACTGTGGGAGCAATAATTAGAAAATGGAAGACATACAAGACCACTGATCTCCCTCGATCTGGGGCTCCACGCAAGCTCTCAAATGATCGCAAGGTCAAAATGATCACAAGAATGGTGAGCAAAAATCCCAGGACCACACGGGGGGGACCTAGTGAATGACCTGCAGAAAGCTGGGACCAACGTAACAAATTCTACCATCACACTAACACACTACGCTGCCAGGGACTCAGATCATGCAGTGCCTGACATGTCCCCCTGCTTAAGCCAGTACATGTCCGGGTCTGTCTGAAGTTTGCTAGAGAGCATTTGGATGATCCAGAAGAGGATTGGGAGAATGTCATATGGTCAGATGAAACCAAAATAGAACTGTGTGGTAGAAACACAACTCATCGTGTTTGGAGGAGAGAGAATTCTGAGTTGCATCCAAAGAACACCATACCTACTGTGAAGCATGGGGGTGGCAACATCATGCTTTGGGGCTGTTTCTCCACAAAGGGACCAGGACGACTGATCCATGTACAGGACAGAATGAATGGGGCCATGTATCGTGAGATTTTGAGTGCAAACCTCATTCCACCAGCAAGGGCATTGAAGATGAAATGTGGCTGGGTCTTCCAACATGACAATGATCCCAAACATACCACCGGGCAACGAAGGAGTGGCTTCGTAAGAAGCATTTCAAGGTCCTGGAGTTGCCTACCCAGTCTCCAGATCTCAACCCCATAGAAAACCTTTGGAGGGAGTTGAAAGCCCATGTTGCCCAGCGACAGCCCCAAAACATCACTGCTCTAGAGGAGATCTGCATGGAGGAATGGGCCAACATACCAGCAACAGTGTGTGCCAACCTTGTGAAGACTTACAGGAAACGTTTTACCTCTGTCATTGCCAACAAAGGATATATAACAAAGTATTGAGATGAACTTTTGATATTGACCAAATACTTATTTTCCACCATAATTTGCAAATAAATTCTTTCCAAATCAGCCAATGTGATTGTCTGGATTTTTTTTCTCATTTTGTCTCTCATAGTTGAGGTCTACCTATGATGCCAATTACAGGCCTCTCTCATCTTTTTAAGTGGGAGAACTTGCAGAATTGATGGCTGACTAAATACTTTTTTGCCCCACTGTATCTGTGGTGTCAGGGGAGCAGACAACAGAAAACCTTATCCCACAAGGGGATAGAGGCACACAACACTGGTCTACTGAAACACAATGTGCCTTTTCCCCGGGAAATTCAGAAGAACATCCTGTTTCTTTACATAGGGGTAAAAACCCAAATTCCTTTTGCCCATGCAACCCCATCCTGCTATCCACCGCTGGCGGTCCTTCAGCCAGACCCCTGAGATCCTCTGGGCTGCCATCAATTTCCACAGCTTCAGGGGACTCAGAGCTATATGCCGCAGGCGCCAGGTGGTGGACAACAGTCTGAGGAGACCTTAGGCCGTCTGGGCCAGGTTCACAAGGGTCCAACCCAGCTATATTGGGCCCTTCCACAGACAATTCCTCTGTAGCAGTGGGCAATGACTGGT